TTCTGCTTATAAATGGCGAATTGACTACAGAGTATAAAGGTAACATCGGTGTGTAGCTCTGAGGACGAGATTGAGAGGGAAACATACCTTGATCATCCTCGGTATCCGTGACAGGACCTTCTACCATGATGTCGGGTCGCTCGAGCTGAAGATGCTGCATCTTATCACGGGAAGGCGTCCCCGCCGCCATTGGTTTCTGCGCACTAGGACGTCGCTGTGTCCCGTCGAGCTCCTCTTCCATGCTCTCTTCCCAAGTGTCGACGCATGTGGTGACGCGTCGAAGTACTTCAAAAATATTGAGGTAGTGCTGGTGTTGAGCAACATGACCTGCTGTCCATCCGGACTAAGGGTGGACAGGGTTGAAAAAAGGTTAAAATAACGTTAGGAGTTGAAAAAAGGACCTGCCAAGGTGATAACCGTGACACTACGAAACCACAGCTGTTCTCATTGATTAAAAACGCCTCCTTTAATGACTGCAAAAGAGGACAGAGGCCGTACTCCGAGCGCCTGTTGCGAGGCTGCGCCTCTCGCGAGTGCGCACCAATGACAGTCTGGTTCTCGGCCAATCATAGCTTTCCAAACTGTCCAATTAGCTTCAAGGTCGAATCAGACGTCTTCTCGCTCGACGTGCTATGACGCATTCTCCACTGATAGTCTCGTCGCCTGCTAACTGCTGCCAATCTTGTCCCTAATAGTTCTGTGCAGGATATAACATTCTCTCAACTGGCGTCCCATCTTTTTCCAATTTAGGACCGTGCCTGAAGGCCATAGCCGCTAGGGCCTCCCTATAACTTAAGCTACCGCGTCATACCTTGTAGTGAACTCGTTGTGGCCCATCGTCATCGCTCACTTACGCAGCCAGTCTCAAGGCTGTGTAGCAGAAGTATACTCGTCAGATAAGAAGTCGCTAAAATATAGCCCTAGTAGCAAGTGCAGATCAAGTGGACAAAATCCGGCATATGTGTCCGGATTTCTCCAGTAGTATTCCATGATGGAATCCGCTTGGATTTGCTACTAGACCCCTCTAGCACAGGAGGCTGTCATTTTTCTCCCTTCTTCTTCGCTCACGAACCTAACACGACTCACCCTCTCACAAGTCAATGGTTCATCTGTCTTGTCGCGCCAACCAGTCTAGTGTAAAAATCAAAATTTGTCACTGGTTTTACTTTCTTCTGACGACGGTAGAGGCTATTGGTGAATTCAAGAGTGACGATGAAATTATGATTGTCCCAGCAGACGCAGGACGGACAACCGTAATCATGGGCAATTCCAGCTGTTCGGAATCTACTTGATCCACTTTCCGTCTAGTAGCAAATCCAAGCGGATTCCATCATGGAATCCTACTGGAAAAATTCGGATACATATGCTGGATTTATACCGGATTTTGTCCATTTTTATACTAGGGATGTTCTGCCAAAAAAAAATTTTCGGCAGGCACGCGTTGGTGGTTTTATCTTGTCAAAAGTACAGGGCGT